TATCTGTGGTGACCTTTACCATCCTTACCGAAAAATCCGGTATAACTTTTCAATGTCCGGATTATAGAACCGGAAGTTTTTGAAAACCCGAAATCCAGATTGCAGACAAAGGAATAATTTCTGAAAACCTAAATTCCAGATAGAATCCAGAGAGATTTCCGGCTCCATAATCCGGATAGCGAAACGTTATACCGGATTTTTCGGTAGGGATAGCCCCCTCTATACTCACAAAGCCTGGCAGTTCGGCGACGGAGCCACAGAGTGCCCGGTCGCAGATTTGGAGCGCTAGGATTTTTGGTACTCAGCGCATAGTTTCTGCAGCGACGAGGACCCGAAACCTGGTTTTCAAACCATGGCCTCCGAGATCCCGAAGCGCGCGTCCTTCGGGATCCCTGAAGCAATGTTCCAGTGATTTTCTTACACCCTCCCTAAAAGGGGGCGGGGGGGGGGGGGGGTGTTTTTTTGAAGGCACCCCCTTAATTTGCAAAAACCTCTATTCTCAATGCCCCCCCCCCCCTAAGCCCCCCCCCCCCCCCCTCTGAAGCTTTATACACCCCCCCCCCCCCCCCTAATTTGAATTCCTGTTGAAACCCCTGCCATGTTCGAACCATAGAGTTATTATAATGTACGCTAGAGGTTCAAGTGGCGCTAGTGTGCTGCTGCAAATTGAAGCACACAGCAACCAGTCGGAAATTGACTTCCGGTAATGCATTTCTATGGGGAAAAGCGAGTGAATTTTCTCGCTGCGCTCGATTATAAGAGCAAATATCACGAATATTTCGTACGTACTAGGCACATTGGAACATTTCTCAATCACGCAGACAAAATAACTGGTCAGTTACGGCGTTTTTATTTGAAATTCGTGGCATGAAAAACGGTGCTAAAACCGCTTCGTACATGTATTTAAGTGCACTGTCGGACACTGTTAGCGCGAACACGGCATCGGCGCTTTCCACCATGCGTGATATACGTGTCAAACGAACGAAGGACATGTGGAACACCAAGAGGGACGGCAAGAACTACGCAGTAACACTGGATAAGTAACTCCTTGTGCACGCAGGTGATCAAAATAAGCTGAAAGCCACGTAATATAGTCTGATTTGCAATAAATAAGTACTGATTCTTTCTGCTCGTGATTATGTGCAAGGATGCATGTTCTGGGTTCAAATCATCAACCGCAGGCTCCAAATCTTTGCAAATAGCAAGAAGTCAGAGAATAGGTGCCCGATGAAAACTGCCCGACATAGCAAATAATAAAAAGGCACACCTTGCGTAGTCCACGTACTTTATTTCTTACATTCGAATGTTTTTTAACCGATCGTAAAGATGCACAACGGAGTCATTTTCATAGAGTGACAGGACGGGCATGTTAGCAATATATAAGCGCCATCGAAATGCTAGCTAACTTTGAACACACTCTACATTCCTTTCGATCGTTAGTTTGCTTAGAATCGTCGCTCGTTTTTACATACCTGCCATGGAACATAGGTTTGGGCCTGAAATATAGCGGAGGTTAACATCGCTTAGTGGTAAAGAAAAATGCTGTAATAAAAGCAATTACACTTTTACAATATTAATAAATGTACATACTATCCGGTATAACTGAAATAAGAAAAGTTATTCGTGTTATTTTCCGACGAAGAGACAAAATTCACGCGCGTTTTCCCATAGGAATGCACAGGAGCACCGCAAAAGTAGACTGGTTGCTGTCTGCTTCAATTTGCCTCCCGGAAGTCGCATAGACACTAGCGCCAGTTGAACCTCTAGCGTACATTGTAATAACTCTATGGTTCGAACCCGACGAGGAAAGAAGCGATAGCGCGAGGAACGCGAGGAGCGCGAGCGGACATTCCATCGGTCGGGACAAGTGTGTTCGGCGTCTCACCGCAGATGGGGCGCCCGCGTCTCCTGGCGATCTGCCAGGCTTGGTCAGTATAGAGATGGCTATGCCTTTACTAAGAGGGAATTTACTGGTGGCTGAGTTGTGTTTATGCCTATAATAACTGTTCTAGTCAGCATTCATTTTCCTAAATTTACGTGCTTTTCTTGACACCGACAAATGCATTGTTTTCTTTGGCGACTTTAACTGTGCATACGAGGCCCACGACTGCTCGACGATCAGTATGAGGCGCGACAACAGTAGTATTGCTCTCGAGAATCTTGTGCGCCAACACTGCCTAAGTGACGTCGGTGCCTATCGAACGTCCATGAATCGCTTCAAGCTCTTGCAAAATTCTCGCCACGGACGCCTTGACAAAATATACATGTCTAGTTGCCTTTTGGAGCACACATTTGAGTAATTTGTAACGCCTGTATGCTTCTCTGACTATTGTGTTGTAACTGTCAGGCTGGGTGAGAAACGTAAACATATGTCTAGACCCAAATGGGCGCTGTGGAATTTAAACATCAATCTTTAATAAAAACAATACAGTGATTTTAATGAGCGACTAATTACCTGTTTTATGACCATTCGTAGTAATACCGAACTTTCCATTTTTGCACAGTGGGATAGTTTTGAGCAAGAAGCTAAAAACATCACAATTGAGTATGCCGGTATTCAGGCAAATCACGGGAAAGCTAACAGGCGTGCACTTACACATAACCTTTACGAATTGAATGAGCTGGTATGCGAAAAACCAGGTAGATTTCATGAGCAAATTTGCTTTCTGAAGTCTGAGCTCCAACGCCACGAGCTTCAACATCACCGAGCAGCGGCTGTGTGATCAAGATGTCAACGCCCTGTATCGACTGAACAAACTACTAAAAGGACTTTATATGAAAAGCGCAAACACGAATAAGCAAAAAAAAAAAAAAAAATCCGGAGTTGCCATGTAATGGCGCTTATCAAGAAATACCGACAGCATTATGACCGCATTCACACAATACTATCAAAACTTATTTGGTGAGGTCTCCCCCTCATCAAACAAGGAGCATATGCCTCTCGTTTGGGGTCCGGCCAACTCGTCGACGGCTAACTCGTCGACGGCCCATTCGTCGAGTAGGGCATTTCGGTTTCGGGCAATTCGTCGAAGGGCAACTTGTCAAAAGGCGAAATTGGTTGAAGGGCGATTCGTCAAATGTTTTGAAAGACGGTCCGAGTTAAAAGTTCGTGGTTCCTTTTTTATCGTTTGACCTAAATTTTTGTTAGTGTTTGGACGAAAACAGCGCCCTTCAAAGTTACAAGATTGAAAGAAAAATTACAAGAGGGCGAAGATAGAAGAGAACCTTTAGACACGTTGACAAATGTGTCATCTCATGATCCTCTTTTTGTTACGTTTTTTTATTAGTTATTTTGTAATGAGCCGCCGCAAACTGTCGCCGCGAAGTGGCGTCAACTGATGGGCCGGGTACGTTAACACGCGACCCCAGTGATACACGAGCGACGTAGCCCACGGATTATTTTAGGGCACTATTTGCTTTAAAATTTATGGACAAAAATTATATATTTTGGCTTTAAAAAACCGGCGACCAGTCGGCCTCTTTGACAAGTTTTCCTTCGACGAGTTGCCCTATGGCGAATGGGCTTATTCGACGAATGGGCCGCCGACGAGCTGGCCGTCGACGACCTAGACCCCTCTCATTTCACTGCTGTCCAGCTGGAGTGACGAAAACTCAGAATTACTTGCTAGATCGTTATTTCTCAAGGAGATCTGCCTGGCCTTGGAGTCCCTTCCTAGCTCGAAGGGACTAGATGGCCTTTCAGCTGAATTTGATAAGCAACACGTAACCTGCTGCGACAGCGTAACCTGCTGCCACAGCGGCACAGGCAGCAGGTTACGCTGGAACCTAAGCAGCTTTCTTTCGCCATTGCAGTCTGCGGTAGTGCTGTTCTTCAACCCTCATCGTTGCGACAGCATCAGTCTGAATAATCTCCGGTGCTGGATATCTATTGCCCGGTGTCGTTTGTGGCCAAGCATTATCACGGCGACGGAATGAGCTGCCTGCATTGGTGTACACCCACCTGTTGGAGCGGTGATTGGTTCGATGCCATTGACTTCGGCTGCATCTGCAGTATAAAGACAGCGTTTCTCGGCCATGAGGGACATCCGCTCTGTCAGCGGTGTGCGGTCACCGAGGACGAGGCTCGTATAGTCTGAGGGTTCCCCCTTCATGAGGAAGCTCGGAGGATGTTTCTCTCCGCCCTATCCTCACAACACACCCTACCAACGACAGCATCGGACGTAGTTTTCCCTAGAGGTCCCAGGCATAGAAGACGGATCATACAGTCCCTCCTACTGGGTTTCCTACGAGAGACCGGCCTAGCAAAGCAACTATGACGCCCCTCCGGCTCTTCCGCTAAGTGCCCCCAGCCCAGTCCGGACTCGCTAATCTGGCTCACTGAGACATGCATGCTGCTAGTTTCTTTTGTCTCCCCCCCCCCCCTCCTCACCTATGCCCCCATCTTTTCCCCTCCTCCTATCCCAGGGCGGAACAACGCTTGCACTTTTGGCAAAGCTAACCCTGCCCTTCCCCACATCACGACCCCCTCCCCCCCCCCCCCCCCCCCCCCCCCCCCTGAGGGACACAGCGGCAGTGGCAGCAGGTTACGCTGGAACCTAAGCAAAGTTTTTTTCGCCATTGCAGTTTCCAGCAGTGCTGTTCTTCAACCCTCATCGGTGCGACAACATCAGTCTGAGTCATCCCCGGTGCTGGATTTCCGTTGCCCGGCGTCGTTTGTGGCGAAGCATTATCACGGCGAGGGAATCAGGTGCCTGCATCGGTGTACGCCCACCTGTTTGAGCGGTTATTGGTACGATGCCATTGACCTCGGCTGCATCGACAGTATAAAGACAGCGTTTCTCCGCCCTGTGGGACACAGCGGCAGTGGCAGCAGCTTGCGCTGGAACCTAAGCAACGTTATTTCGCCATTGCAGGTTGGTACTTTTTTGCTTTGTACAAACTGATATTTATCTTTACCATCTGCTGCTGCTGCTGCTGTTCCTGCTGTAATTTTTGCTGTTATTTCTTGCTGTGTTGCAATACCTGACAGATGCTTCAACATGGCAGATGACTCGAAAGATATCTGTGTACATTGCAGTCAAGCCTTTCCGGAAAAAGGCTCGCAAATCACATGCGTAGAGTGCCAGTATACTCTTGCCATATAGGCACTTGTTCTGGCATCTCGGAAGAGTCGCGTGTTGCTTCACGTAAAACCTGGCGCTGCCAGACATGTAAAATAGCCAAGTCTTGAGAAAGTCAGAGGAGCAAACAAGACAAAATATCTAGATGTAGCTGCTATGCTGATCAGCATGAACGCTAAGCTAGACACCTTATTAAGCTTAAAAGAAACAGTGGATGCCATGGAACATTCACTTCAGCACATGCCGGCGAAATATGATGCAGTGCTGAAGCAAATGGATGCACACGACGGGGAAATAAAAAAAAACTTAAAGAAAAGGGTGATGCACTTGGAAAAAAAACGGATTGACAGGTTAAAACAAAAAGTTCACGACCTTGAATGGAGAAGCCGCAGGCAAAACCTTGAAACACACGGGATCCCCATGAGCTTTGGCTAAGATAAATGACCTAGAAAAGCAAATGGCAGTGCCCGACTTGACAGCAGATCAAATCATGGCCATGCATCGGCTTCCCTCGCGCCCTGATAAGATACCCGGAATTTTGATTCGCTTTTCAAATCAAGCAACTCGGGATCTGTGGCTGAAGAAATGAGTGAACTTGAAGCGAGTTCGTTGCAAAGCATAGATCTTGGAAAACTTGACAATCCAGGATAAAACACTTCTTTGGGAATGGCGAGAATGCGCAAAGGCAAGACGGTACCAATACGTCTGGTACAAACATGGAAAAGTACTGGTAAGAGAAAAGGATAGGGCACAAGCACATGTAGTGAAAACTGTGGATGACTTGCAAACACTTGTGTAGTTTTTCGCTGCTGGTAGTTTTCTTTTTCTTTCTTTCGCTAATGACAAGACTCTTTCCTTAAGAAGTGAAATCGAAATTGTTTTCAAGAACCAACCAAAAGTGCCACTTTCTTTCTTTCACCTAAATGTGCAATCAATATGCAATACATTTGATGACTTAAACATATTTTTGGACGGTTTTAATTTTCTGTTTGATGTTATTATGCTCAGTGAAAGACGGTATAAAAAAACAGAAGTAGATAGGCTTGAGAATTATTAATTAATAATGTAATGCAAAAAGAACCAATAAAGTAGGAGGCGGAGTATGTATACATGTAAAAAGGGGTCTTGAGTGCACACTTGAAAGGGACTTTACAGCTATTACAAGCTATTATGAAATACTAACTTTACAACATGCAAAAACTGTTTTTTCTGTTGTCTATCGCCTGCCAAGTGGTAATATCTCCTCCTTTCTTGAGTTTCTCGACGTGTATTTTAAGTTTCTTGGTGGAAACAAATTGACTGTCTGTTTTGGAGGTGATTTTAACATAGACATGCTTGCGTCGCGCTTTCACATAAAATTGAATTGTTGACTTTATATCAGTCATACGGACTCTTCATCGTTATTTCCCAGCCTATCGCATTACACCCCGAAATATGGCGTTGGATTTATTTTTAACAAATATTTCAGAAACGAACATAATTGTTGGATTGGTTGGGGAAACTATTAGTGGTCACCTTCCAATATATATCCTTGCAAATGTAGACTGCAGCTCAAAAAAAAATATGTGATCAGATTTATTTTAGAAATATAAGAGCTAGAAACCTTGATCTTTTTGAACAACAAATAAGTTCCGAAGTCTGGAGTGCGGTGCTGTCTGGCGGGTCTGCTGAAGAAGCATTTAATTGTTTTCTTGAAAGGTTTATTATGATGATCGCTGCTTTCCTCATGAATTGCATAGGGTTTCTCGAAAGTCTCGTAAACCCTGGGTTACACTCGGAAAAAAAATGATAAATAGGAAAAATAATCTCTACCACTGATTCGTGCACACTAAAGATGTTAACATCTTAATTGCATTTAAGAAACTTAGAAATCAATTAACAAAAACGTTAAGGCCGTCTAAACGCGTGCATTTCTATAATTTATCTAAATATGACGAGATCCGAGGTAGTATGGAAAAAAGTAGATGAGTTAATAAAACAAGGGTGGCATGCGAACAAAGTAACATAAACAAAAATCGAAGGTATTGTCGTAAAAGGGGTTGCTTTGGCCAAAAAGTTTAGTGATCATTTTGCTACACTTGTCCAGAGTATACACTGTGCGGTTGCCGTTAGGTATGTCCAGAAGGTTTCACGTAGTATGTTTCTGCTGTCAACTGAAGAACATGAAGTATTTTCTGTTTTCCAAAGCTTCAAAAATAGTAACAGCTCCGATATATACGATTTTCAAATTAAACCTATTGAGCATGTTTTGAGGTCGACTGTTCCATGCTTAACATATATTTTTAATCTAGCAATTGAGAACGTAACTTTCCCCAAAAAATGCAGGTAGCGAAGGTATATGTGCTATATAGAGCTGGAGATAAAAACAACCTCGAAAATTATAGACCGATTTCTGTTTTACCCATATTTTTCAAGAGCTCTAGAAAAAATAATACATCACAGGCTGTATAGTTTCTGCGATAAGTTTTCTATCTTAACGGCCCTGTCAATACGAAGGCGTTTGACCCGATCAGTCATGACGCATTACTTCAAAAGCAGCATATTTATGGCAATCGTGGCGTTGCTCTAGATATGATTAGATGTTATCTTAGTTATCAATACCAGTGTGTTGAAATAAACAAAAAACAATCGGATCTTAGGAAACAGACTGCCGGCGTACCGCAAGGGAGCATTCTGGGACCACTTCTTTTTAATCCATACATCAATGACATCGCAAATATTGACAGAAATGTAAGTCATTATTTACGCTGGTGATACCAGTATATTCTTTTCATGTGATGATACTAAATCAGATTATAAGTGCCGCAAATAATTTTGTGGAAAAGTTAAATGCCTGGACAAATTCAAATTTATTAAAAGTAAATGGCAGTAAGACAAAAGCCGTATTATTTAGATCACGAAATACAAGCTGTTTCTATACGTCCATTCTTTCTCTTGGAACACACTGCATAGTTATAGTTGAAAGCGTAATATTTCTTGGAATTATATTTAATCAATACATGTCATGGGACGAGACTGTACAGCAGACATGTAAAAAATTATGAAAAGTTGTATGTATGATGTACAAATATCGTCACATCATCCAGATTTCGGTTATGCTTCTTATATATAATTCCCTCTTCTACTCAAAATATGATTATTGCTTCCTGGTATGGGGGGAATACGACCGCTACAAACAAAACTGATACATACTCTACAAAAAAAGCTGTTCGTATTATATGTAATACTGTATAATAGTCATACTAGTCCATTAGTTAGTAAATTAAATATTGTACAGATTCCTAATCAGCATTATTATAAACTTTTTCTTGTATTGAAAAGAGCTTTTTGCCAAAAAGAAAATATATTCATGTCTATTTTCCACATTAGGATGAGAGAGGTTGCTAATGAAACTAGGTCTGTAGACGCATGGTTAGTGCTGCACTCCAGAACGAACTTATCCCGGCCGAGGTGCCCGCAATCTGACGGAGGCTTGTTGCGGAGAAGACGCCGTGTAACCGAGCTTTCGGTTGCACGTCAAAAGATCCCGATGTAATCCAAATGAATCCTCAGTCCTCCTCTGAGGCGGGCCAGTTGCCCGTCGTTGGTTTGGCACGTAAACACCCAAATTTGATTTTTTTTTTTATTCAGAACTAACTACGGTAATCAGAGGTTGAAATATATAGTACGTCGTTTTTTAAATCGCCTGAATTCATTCAAAACTTCTACATTCGACACGTAGAAGTTTTGAATGAAACTATAAAAAATGCACGTTCCATGTTTGTGAGAGAGTGCCCCTGGAATTTGTAACCTTGGCTAAATCGATTGCTTTCCCCCTTTCCCGCTCCCCCATCTAATGTTGTTTATTTTTGTGCTATAAGTGTGATGGTGAAAAAAACATTATGTGTATGTACATGCTGTCCTCTTTCGCTGCTGTGGGTAGGCAGAGGCTCGTCAAGCAACAACTGAGCTGCTTTTTTCTCTGTCTCCCCTCTCCAAATGAAGAGAAGTGAAGAGTTTGAATTTGATACGTCCATTCCACCTTGAATGTTTTACAACTTCACTTGAGTATGGCAGGTTACCTCCATCGTTTTTTCAGAGTCACACTATGTTAATACCAAAATGCTCCTACTCTGATAAGTTAAGGACTGTTGAAGGGTATCGCCCAATAGCGTTCTGCAATGTCAATTACAAAATATTTGACAAAATCCTTACTAAACGCTTACAATGTGCTATTGCAAGAGTTGTTGGAGCTCACCAAACATGCGGGTTTGAAGGCCGCACAATCCAGACGAACGTTAATGTAGCGCGATCTGTTCTTCGTTGCTGCGAAAGTTTACAAGATCAAGTGACCATGCTTCAAATTGACCTAGCGAAAGCTTTCGACCGCGTTAGCCATTTCTTTTGTTTGCTCTCTTAGAACACATAAACGTAGGAAAGGTTCTCCTTAACGGCATAAAAATGTGTTATTCCGAAGCATTAACTACAATAATAGTAAACAGTGCTCTTTCCACACCAATTCACCTTCATTCATCTGCAAAACAAGGATGTCCCTGCCTCCCCTTCTGTTTGCATTATATTTGGAACCTCTGTGTCTAAGTACGCCGAAAAGTACAGGCGTAAGAGGTTATAAACTGTTATCTCATGAAGTGAAAGTTCTGGCTTATGCCGATGATGTAGGTTTTTTTTCTGTCGATGCTGCATTAGTAATCAATCAATCCAGAAAATTCGTAAGGCAACTGGAGCGTTGGTTAATACCTCCAAACGCTGTGGACTCCGGTAGGGGACTTGAAGGAAAAGTCCCCTACCGGTGTCCACAGGTCAAGGTAAGTAGCTGGCACGCAAGACCACGCCATGTATGGCGTGGTCTGGCGTGCCAACTACTCACCTTGGCGCGCTTCTGTTATGTTTTCGAAATAGCTCACGCTACTGGACAGAAAGCGTCACAAAACTTAAGCGCCAAGCGGACATGCTGAAGCCTAGTCAGCTTCCGGTTTTGGGCCGTGCTACCGCATGTAACGTTTTCCTAGTCGCCAAACTGTGGTACGTGCAACAGGTTATTCGCTGCGCCCGATGGCACCTTCAACGTTTCCATAGGATATTTGCGACCTTCATACGGGCCTCTTCATAGGAGCCAATGTGGCGTTACAGTCTGTTTCGGTGTATCGGAGTGCGAGGACTAGGCTTAACCCATCTATTCGTACGGAAGATTGTTTCACATTTCATGTTCCTCAGAACGTCTTTTCACCCGCTCATTTGGACCATCCTCCAAACTCGCTTGATGTATCTCCTCCCTGTCTTCGTTGTTTTATTCGTCCACGTGGCAATGCCTCGACCTTTTGGCTTTCTCCAAGAAGTTGTGGCAGCTTTTGAGTTTTTGAAAGTGCGATTTTCCTTGGATTATTTATTTACTCTTTTTCAGAAAGGAGCTCTACCATAGCCTAATAGATTCGCTATTTCCAGACCCGTTATGCCGCAGCCAACATCCAAAGAGTACGGACCAAGATGTTTTAAAGCGAGTTCGCAGAATGCGTGTTCTCTCAACTCTAAAAAAAAAAAATAATTTTCTTTAAGCTTCATACCAACACACTTTCTGTAAAACCATGGCTACGTGACAAATGCATTTTTGTACCGTGGTCGATCAACTGCCGTTTATGCAACGCGCCAGAGACTATTGAGCATTGCTTTATTTTTTGCACAGATGCATACCTTTTCTGGAATGCACTTCAGGGTACTATAAAAAAGAATTAATATCAACGCATACTCTATTCGTTTTCTTCCGTTGGAAGATCCAGAAACATTCCCCTCTGATATTTTTTTTTTTTTACTTTGCTCGGTATGCATAGTTCCTGGAAGACGCGCATGATGGACAGAAACGCTGAACCACCAAGGACTACCAAATCAAATTTCATCGAAACATGCAACCACGTAAAAAGTGTCCTTAATAAACTCGGTAAAAATCCCAAACGGTATTGGCGACTTGAAAAGTGCCTTTTGTGTTCTGATTTCTGATATAGTCGAGTCAGCACTGCGTACCCGAAAAGGTGTGCAAATTTGTCTAAATTGTAAAAATGTTGGTGCAAATGCATCTGAATAATCTTGTATAAGTTCAGCGCACTCTCGTTTCAAAGCTGCAACTTTAACCGATGTGCCCACCGTCTATGCTTCCATGCAATAAAGAAAAAAAAAATCCCCCAGTAGCTCAGTGGAGAGATGTCCTCTTCTCACGCAGCAGACGCAGGTTCGATAGCAAATGTAAACGTAGCGTTTTTTTTTTTTTTTTTTCTATTTTGTTTTGTTTTTGTCATACATTTTGCAATATTTACATTGAGTTATTTTTTTTTTTTGCAAT